CCAGTCTGGGTGACAGAGTGAGAATCCAACTCAAAAAAAAAAAAAAACCAAATAAATTTGTAGTTCTGGACTGTAAAACCTAAACTTCAGTGAACTTATCAAGCCCTTTCCTTAACTAAACAGCCTTATAATTGAGAGTAGTCTTCTTAATAATGCAAGTAAATATGCAGTTAATTATTTCAGTTCGTGCTTCCCTTTCTGTGGTGATTTAAGGATGAGTTTCTTTTATAACTAGTCAAGAATTTTTTAGATAACCTTTTTATCTCTAATTTTTATTATCAGAGGATGTGGCCTTTTATAAATTAATATTGTCTTTGTGGCCCAGTTCATAATCTATTTTTGTTAAATACTATGGAGCTATTAGAAATTATCTCTAACTTGAGGGATTAAAATTGGATATTGAATATTTGAGCCTGACAGTTACTCATATTCAAGTTTTGGTATGTTAGAGTCCGTAATAAAAAAGAAAAGGAACTTTAAGGAGTATACTGAAACATAGCACTATAATAGTCCAAAAAAGATAAAGCCACATAAAACAGTGAACAGTATAAACGTGATGTGCCCTTCTTGTCAAACAAACTGGTAGCTTCCGGGTGAATTTAAGAGAAAGGTAGAATATGATCAGCAAGAGATCTAGGTGAGTGGAGATGACATGAAACTGATACTTTGGTGCCGTTTACCTCCTAGAGAGGTGGCCTTTACTGGTGCCTATTGACCTATAAGTTCTGCACCAAAACTTTCATGTGATTGGTTCAGCAGGCCTCAGTAATCCTGTTTGCAAGTTTTTTGGGAACCTGTTCATGTCTGTACTCGACAGCCATGTATACAATGCTTAGAGCAGTGCCTGGCACATAATTAGGTGGTTGCTACTGTTTTGTGTCCCTTCGAGCTCCGTTGCGGTTAGTGGGCTATCAGTGTCATTAGCCCTATTTCCTGCTTTCACACCCCTCCCTCCTGTTCTCCTTTATTCTGGTGTGGGAATGGGATGAAGAGCTTGGCTGGGGCCCTCACAGGCTGCCATCTCTGCAGGTGAATGCTATCTGCTATGGGGCCAAGATCATGCTTCCAGGTGTTCTGCGGTACGAAGATGGCATTGAGGTCAATCAGGAGATTGTGGTCATCACTACCAAAGGGGAAGCGATCTGCATGGGTAAGGGGATGGTGCCCTCCGGTTCTGGAGTTGGGACACCGTTCTGTACCTGCAGAGCCAGACTCACTGAATGAGTCCCCAAGCCCTGGTCCCTTGTTGACCTAATCATGGTGTTTCCTGGGGTCTTGATGGGTGCTTACAGTGAAGGGACAGGTCATTTAGATACAGGTGAGGAGGCGGTGAGTGGGGTTTCCTTTGCACACAAGTAGGCCCTTGTCCCCACTTGGCTTTCCAGTGAGAAGACAGATCATCAGCGAAGAGTAAGAAACAGCTGTCGATGGTAATGGAAATAAAGAGCCTTGTCTGCTTGCTGTTAACCTGTGATTATTAGTATGAGTGGTTTTGAACTTGTGAGTGTTTAGCTACCATTGGATTGTCCCTTGAGACTTTAGATTCTCTGTGCCCTCTTAATAAATCAGAGCAGAAATGAGGCATGTCATCAGGATCTTCCCCATGGGCAGTGCAGACGAGGGAATCCTTAAAACTTCAAAGGATCTGTGCCCTTGAAGGGTATGCATGCATTCCCATAGTGTCCTGAGTCACAAGCCTGCCATGTGTACCTTTAGTGCCATGGTGAGGCGTTTTTTAACTTGGGAAGTTTCAACAGAATTTCAGGGGCTTCCTTCTGATAACAGAGAGTTTTCTCCATGTGTACATCCTGCACAAAGGAAATCCCAGTTCAAGGAGTAGAGCTCAAGAGTTCTAAATGGGTTGTAAAGTGGCAGAAAGCAGTGGAATTGGGGCTCATTGGTTACCAAGCCTTTCTCATTCAAATCATTCTTTCTTCAATGCCTCCAGCTATTGCACTAATGACCACAGCAGTGATCTCTACCTGCGACCATGGTATAGTAGCCAAGATCAAGAGAGTGATCATGGAGAGAGATACTTACCCTCGGAAGTGGGGTTTAGGTCCAAAGGTAAGCAGGACAGGGTTGTGTGCCCTGCCGAGTTACTTTGCATTGTGGAACTCATTCAGGCGGCTCCTGGTGTGCACCCTTGCCACCGTGGCTTTGTATTGTGCTGGGCTGTGGGTTGACCGTGGTGGTGGAAATGGGCCCTTGATTTGACCTCAGAGACTGCAGTCTCATGGGGGGAAACAGTACTGCCCAAATGGTGAATTTCAGCCATTCTAGTGGCTATCGAGATGTGCCTGCCACCTGCAGAGTCCACAGTGAGGAGTTGGACATGGTCAGGGGGTCTGGGCAAGGGATCATCTCTTAAGCTACACCAGTGTGAAGGGTGGGTTAAATGTTGGTGAGGGGCGGGAAGAGTTCAGGGCCTTGGAACAGCATATGCAAAGCCCTGTGGCCAAAGAATAGAGTGGCTGGAGTAGGGCGTGTATGTCACCAAATGTTCTGACCGTCAGCAAGTCATGTGTTTGCTCCTTTGGAAGCAGTGGGTGTGGTTGTTTCTGTTTTAATTTATTTACTTACTCTAGGGTTGTGGGCTACAAGTGAGGATTTACTACGTAAGTAGGTTGCATGCAGGTGAAGTTCGGGCTTCTAGGTGGCCCTCCCTCCCCCTAGTAGTGAGCCAGGTACTCATTGCGTTGCCACTTGCCTTCCTCAGCAGTGCCCAGTGACTGCCGATCCTACTCTTGCACGAATGCGAATCGTGTTCCGGGCCCACTTTTGACTGAGAACATGCAGTATTCAGTTCTTTGTTTCTGTGACAGTTCACTTAGTCTGATGGTCTCCAACACTGCATCCAGGTTGCTGTGAAGGCCATGATTTAGTTCTTTGTGGCTGTGTGATATTCTCTCGTGTATATGTATACATTTTCTTTATCCAGTCCACTTTCAACGGGCAGCAGGGTTGGCTCCATGTTTTTGCTATTGTGAATAGTGTGGCAATAAACATGCACATGAAGATGTCTTTTTGGTAGAGTGATTAAGTTCTGAACCGCCTTGCAGAGGTACTTGAGACCCTGCTGAGAATACGCAAGGGGGGAGCCCCCCTGTGCCTCCCTGTGCCTCTCTGTGCAGTCGTAAGGCCTGCTTTCTATGTTGGCACCGTTGTAATATTGAAACCCCGATGCTCCACCAGGCAAGTCAGAAGAAGCTGATGATCAAACAGGGCCTTCTGGACAAGCACGGCAAACCCACAGACAGCACACCTGCTTCCTGGAAGCAGGGGTACGTTGACTACAGGTGAGGGCCAGAGGTGAGGGCATGCTTGCTGCTTTGACATGAAGGTATGTCAACAACAGGTGAGGACAGGATGGGTAGAGACAGCAAGCTTGCCATTTGGATGCAGGAGCACATCGAGGACAGGTGAGGACAGAGATTGCAGAGCCCAGGGAAGGGGTGGGGACTTAGTTTGGGGCTGTGGCTCCGTGAGGCCTTGGCCGCCCAGGCCAGTGAGGGGCTCTGGCCTGCACAGCAGACAGTTATCCCTTTCTAGTCTGGCTCATGGGACTCTAGAGGGAGTCAGTCTGCAACAGTAAGTGGTGAGTTCTTCTGTCCAGCGTCAGTATTTTGATGGTGGCCTTAGACTTGCCAGATACCGCTGCATACCTGAGATGCGTCAGTCCTGCCCTGGGAGGCTGTTCAGTGAGTGTGACCTCTTGCCCCCTCTTCTCGTTCAGTGATTCTTCCAAGAAAGAGGTGGCTACTGAAGCAGCCAAAGCTCCGTCCACAGTAGCTGAAGTGGTGAAAGCACCACAGGTAGTTGCTGAAGCAGCAAAAGCCTCAAAGGTGAGTGGCGGGCTGTGATCCGTTTGAAATGTGTCGAGGGGGGTGATGCTAAGAAGTGTATCCAGGCTTGGTGTAGCAGTGTGTGTCAGCCTGCATCAGAGTGCAGGGCACAACCAGATGATGGTGTCACTTGCTTTGGCTCTGTGGGCTCCTCTGATTTGTATTCCGTCATGTCTGCTGGGAGTGTGGACTTGGGAATCCAGCCAGCCTAGACTCCCACCCTAGCTCTGGCCTCCACCCTGGGTCAAGTGGTAGCACGAGTGTGTTGGAATCAGGCCACGGCAGGTTGTAGTTGACACTGAAGGCCATACAAAACTCAGCGGGGAGCATCATTGCCCAAGTCTGGCAGACATGTCTAGCCAGCACCACCAGTGTCTGAAGAGTCAGAGTCATGCCTGTAGTGGCAGCTTGGCTTCCTGGGGTTGGGAGCTGTTGGCGTTAGAACACGGGGGACATGTCTGCACTCCAAACCCTCGAGTGGTACCAAGTGCCCCACAACAGGCTGAGTGAGTTACTGCTTTGTCCGCTTTCTTTGCGGACTTGGGGAGGACGTAGAATACCAGGACCTCTAAGCCCACCCTCCACGAGAGAAATGGCTCCTTGGCCTTTCGGTCCTCAAGGAAGCCCCCTGGTGCTCCTGTTGTACCCCACAGCTTCTGGGCTTTGGGACGAGTCTGTCTTCTAGTCCTCCGTAAACAGAGGGTCCTGTTGGGGTTTGTGATCAGAAACTGCACTGTTGGATCCAGATCCAGTCGGGTGACTTCCTGAGCCTTTCTTGTCTATTGTTGCCCAAGATCTATCTTTGACACTTGCTTTCATTCCAGCGGAAGCGAGAAAGTGAGAGTGAAAGTGATGAGACCCCGCCAGCAGCTCCCCAGGTGATCAAGAAGGGAAAGAAGAAGAATAAGAAGGACAAAAGGGCCAAGGCCGCTCTGGAGAGCGGGGCCGAGCCTGGAGGCGGAGTACGTACAAACCCTTTCAGGCCCCGGGCTCCGTCTCTGGGTGGGGAGAGCCTTGCCCCGGCGGGGGCTTTGTTGCTCTTGGATAAATGATGCCTCTAGTCTTCCCTTGCCTGTCGGGTCACTGTCCTAGAGAGAAAGAGAAAAGAAGCTCACGGCATCCACAAAGAGAACCTGGCCTTTGTCTTAAACTCTTCCTAGTGACTTATGGTAACTGGTCATAGTTATAGCTCTGTTGATAGTGTGTGGGGAGGGTGTGTAGCTTGGTGATCTGAAGGTTTCTACTTATAAAAGTCAGCCTCTAGGGTGTCACTGAAAACTTCGCAGAACTTCGTGCCACATGCAGTATTTATGTAACCTAACATATCTTTACAGACACTGCAGAAGTTTAGTTAACTGTGTGGACGTGACCAGATTTTCTTTTGGGAGAGTCATAATTGTTCTCTTTGTGGATGCTGTGAGCTTTTTTTCTCTTTCTCTCTAGGACAGTGACACCACCAAAAAGAAGAAGAAAAAGAAGAAAGCAAAAGAAGTGGAAGTTGTTTCTGAGTAGTAGTGAAGACCACTTTAAGCTTGGTGTCCAGCTGGGAGGAGAAATGAAGGCCTTAGTGAGAAACATAGTTCCTTTTGTCTTCGAGGGAATGGAACACAGGTCCTGGACAGGGTGGAGAGTTCCGGCACATTTCGGCTGCTCCTTGAGACCTCGGTGGTGTTACCTGGTGTGATCGTCCCATCTTGTCCTGTTTTAAGGATGTGGGTGATGTGAGGCAGATTTTATGCCAACAACTTCTCCGCTTGTTTGAGTCGGAAAGCCTCCAAACCCGGTAACTCTGCAACTGTGTGCTAATGGCCGTGTGAACATCGTAGTCCTCTCCTGCTTTGCTTTTTAAAACAAGTCCCGTTTAAAAGAAAAGTCTGCTCTTGAAATGGTGTAGAGCCCTCGGTGAGTGTAAGAATATAGCTGAATCTTGTCTCCAGTGTCCTGTGAGGACAGTGGCCTATTCTGGTGTTGGGGCGTAGGCCAGGCAGGCCAGGTAGTTGTCTTTCTTGTTTCTGGCCCAGCAGTCAGTCCTTTGTGCACTTCTTCAAAGCTCGTGTGTACAGCTGTGTTCACCTGTATCCATCTGGCTACGTGTGTGTGTGACAAGCTGAACCGTTCCTGTACCCTCTTGTTTTAGCCCTCACTTACTTTTAAAGAGTGAACTTGCTCGTTGCTGGGAGAAGACTGTTGTAATTTTTACTTATTAAAATTGACTTGCTAAGTTTTGTAAGTATTCCTGTTGGGTTTTCTTATTGTTGGTGATCTCGAACTAGCAAAGCAAAAAATATAAAATATTTTGGGCCAGGTGTGGTGGCTCACACCTGTAATCTCAGCACTTTGGGATGCCGAGGTGGGAGGATCACTTTAGGCCAGGAATTGGAGACCAGCCTTGGCAATATAGCAAGACCTCATCTCTACAAAAAATTTTAAAAACTTAAAAAATTACCCAGGCGTGGTGGTGTGTGCCTGTGGTCCCAGCTACTCGGGAGGCTGAGGCTGCAGTGGCTGTGATGCCACTGCACTCCAGTCTAGGTGATAGAATAAGGCTTCAACATAAATAAAAATATTTTGATTATAAATCTGGAGACCTTTATGTCCTATTTGAAATTTGATGCTTTCCTTTATGTTTGGCTGGTTTTACATTTGTCTGTATCTTACACCGTTCACCTTAGGGCCTATCATCTGATATGGGATCAGATACCGAGGGGTGTGGTCATCACAAGCAAGTGATCTCTCTGCAACAGACAGGAGACAGGGTGATGTGTTCCGTGTAGTGGCCCTGGTAGGAGGGTATCAGTGAGTGTGTCTGGAGATGGGCAGAGCACAGATCTGCAGACACATCTGAACACGAACTGTGACAGGAGCTTGCTGAAGCTGTCACTTCCGGTGCTGGTGGCAGAGTGAGCAGGGTGAAAGAAGCTGGGGGTGGGGATGTTTAGGAATCAAGGTATTGGTGACAGATGGTTAGTGGGAGAAATGTATTAAAAGCTAGGAGAGAATACAGGAGGCTCCTTGTGTGGAGGAGTCTTTGGATGGAGCAAGGAGAGGCCAAGATGTGCCATGTGATGGGCCAGTATGCAGGGGGGACCCTGACCCTGGTTTTTCTTCTAAATGTGAGTTTTAGCCGCAAGATTAAATGTGTGCCCACGATGGGCTCCCCCCCAGAGAAGGTAGCCTTAAAAAGGTTTTTTCTCTGGGCACCAGCCACTGGAGCTCTGCAGTGGGGCATGAAGTCCCATCTGAACCCAGGAGAGGCATCTTGTGTCGATGTCAATGTCTACAAGTTTAAGTGCATGGGGTGACATTTCCCTTTCAAGAGATTTGTAGTGCAGGTGGAAGAGCGGAGAGGTACAAGGTCACTGGCATTTTCACATGGCATTTTTATTGCTTTTGAGGGTTTTCCTAGAGCAGACATTCTATTGCACAGATGTTTCATTTTGGCATTTTAGAAAGTGGCAGTTAAAAAACGCTTTCTTCAAAGTAAAAAGACAAATAAGATGCCTGGTGTAATTGAAGGTGAACGAGGGCAAGCTGTGACGGAACTGCTCTCTGAGCAGCAGTTACATTCTGGTGGTGCTTCTTGCCCCAGTTTCCAGAGATCCTTTTGAAATCCAGATCAGTGGGGGCCCCATCTGTCAGAGAAATTGAATCCCAGCCCTTCTGGAGCCTGAGAAAGAAGACTGAATCCTGCTGTCTTAGGGTAGCTGCAGAGAGCGCGAAGCGGACACAAAACTCGGAGCAGCCCTGTCTCAAAGCGAGGGGAACGGAGTCTCAAGTGCTGGAGAGGGGCACGCAGTGGGTCCCTGGTCTGCAGGCTTAGTAGACCCAGGAGACGGGCACCCACTGTGGAGAACTGCACGCCTGGTCAAAGGCTTCTTGCAGTTTCTTAAGGGTTTCATCGACACCATTGTTGACCAGTGAGAGGTCAAAGTAGTGAGCATACTGGCTGCGGATGGCCTCAGAGTCCTTCTGCAGCTGCTGCAGGGCTTCCGTCTGTAAGAAAAAGTCACAGATGAGGCAGGCTGTGGCGCCCCCCAGCCAATGATACGGCCCCCCAGAGAGGCCAGTAACAAGTTTTTTAAAGGCATTTGCTAGTAGTACTGCTCAGCCACGTATCATATGTAAAGACTCAAACTCAGAAGAGGATGCTTGAGAAAATGGCAGGCACAGACAGTACAGACCACGGCAACCTCAGGGGCTCCACCTAATCCTGAGTTCACGCGGTCAGCCCTCTGGAAGAGCAGCAACCACGGAGAGACAGCGTGGACTTCACCAGCATCTATCTCCCAGTTCACATCCTTCAACATTCTATGCCCCTCGAATGTGGGTGAGCCATTTCAGCAACAACCAGAGCTGCAATCCCAAAACAAAGGCCTTTTCTGCATCAGCTCCGGTTCAAAAAAACCAAAACATATATACAATCCCAAGCCTCTTTGACCCAAAACCAAGCAGCCGTGAAGACTGATTAGAAACACCAAAAGACATGCCAGGTTGGGGGCAGGGCTGGGGGGGGGGGGGGAGTGCTCCTGGACCCATTGAGCCTACTTGGGAGTTCTTCCTACACAAGTATCCGCATATTTGAAATGCCACACGTACAGGGCTGTTGATGGCAGTATTGTTGACAACAGTTGATGTTTAAAACAACCCAACGGCCACTGACAAGTGAATGATTAGCCTAAGTAATTGCGAGGCTGGGTGCAGCACTTTGGGAGGCTGAGACAGGAGGATTGCTTGAACTCAGGAGTTGGAGAGTAGCGTGGGCAACATAGCAAGACCTCATCACAAGAAAGATTCAAAAAATTAGCTGGGCGTAGTGGCTTGGGGGGCTGACGTGGGAGTATGGCTTGAGCCCACAAGGTTGAGGCTACAGTGAAGCATGATCATGCCATCACATTCTAGCCTGGGCAATACAGTGAGATCCCAACTAAAATACACGTATATATTGTGTGTATATAACATACAAACACACACGATAGAAGACCGCGCATCTGTTGAAGTTGTTTACACACTGGTAGGGCTGAGTGGAAGGAAACAGGAGAAGCTTTTCCATACATTCCTGGCCTCCTTCCTCCCCACAGCCACACTGTTCCCAGGTGGCTCCAAGTCTGCCTCTGTCCATCCCAGCTCACCCTGCCTGAGCCGGCATCACCAGAGTATCAAGAATTGATCAACTGTCCATCCCCACCACTGGACCCAGAAGCCTCTGGAACAATGACCGGGCCTGGTTTGCTTTGTTCCTGTTCCCTAGCATGGGCACTGGCCTAACCAGTGCTTTAATAACTATCTGTTGAATGAATAAAATGTACATGCCATTTGCTTCCTTGGTCAAAGATCTGGACTGATGTCCTAGGCTGGGCAGGCCCAGAGCAGGTGAGCCCGCACACCTGACCCCTGCACAACCCTGGCCTTCTCACCTGAGTGCCCTGGTCAGTAGGTGCAATGAACACAATGAAAGGTGAAAGTTCAGCTGTCCGGACAATCTTCAGGGTCTACGAAGAGGGAAGACAGAAGAAAAGGAGAGAGTGAAAAAACAAGAGCATAACTGTCACAAAAGATTCCTTCTGCTAAGCAGTTTTGAGCTTTACTCCACTGCTATTTTCCATCATTCCCGTACCGTTCTCATTCCCAGGTGACCCCACTAAAAGAACTGATGAGCCCCAAGCTCCCAGGAGATTCCCTGGTGTGGCCAAGCCTACCCAGTCCTGGTGCCTACCCACCTGGGGCTCGATGTCAAGGATGGCAACCTTGTCCTGCTGGTGAATCTGGTGCACCGTTTCAAATTTGGTGCCAAACATGTTGCCCTGGTAACTGCCAAACTCCAAGAACTCGTTGGCAGAGATGTTCCTGGTCATCTCCTCCGTTGAGATGAAGTGGTACTCCTTCCCGTCTTCCTCGCTCTTCCTCGGCGGCCGTGTTGTATCTGTGTTCAAGAACCCTCTTGTGAGGCTATGGCGTCTGCATGGAAGCCCCACCTGCCTTTGTGCAGAGTGGAATGGCAGGGGCTCCTCCCATGGGCTCCTGCTAGGCGAATGCTAGAAGGTGATGCTGATCAGGAAATGGCCCACCTGCCCAGAACACATTTCTTTGTAAGAGGCAAGGCCCAACGTAGAAAAGCCCATATGGAGTTACATCTCTCAAATCACCAAATCCAGGAATGTTGAAGCTCAGAAATGAAGAAATGACAGCTGAAAATATTTCAAAAACAGACCTATGGGCTATGGTCAGGGTTTCCTGAAAAGATATTTACGGTTTCCTTTCCATGACTTGGAATGAAGAGTACTTTGGCTCGATTTAAACTCGTATTATTAAAAGCTAAAAAAAGGCCCTATTTTCTATTACTCAGATACATCGTCTAAGCACAATCTTCCCCTCTCCCGTTCTTTGCATCTTTGTGGACCGTCTCTGCCTCCTATGTCAGCACAGGAATCTCTCGAACGAGGCACCTGCACTGTTTCTGCTCCTAATGACTCTGAAATGACTGTCCATCTCAGCAAGGAGACAACTCTCAATGATCCATGGGTAAAAAAGCAAAATGGAGAAACCGAATTAATACTAATATCAGGGTTAGATTCTGGCTTTCTGTTTTGCTTAACTGGATAGTCATTCCTCACTTAATAGCATCAGCAGGTTCTTGGAAACTGCCTTTAAGTGAAATGACATAACAAAGCCAATGTTTCTCTCATTAGTGATACAGTGAAATGACGTTCATCATTGTTCAAGAACCTGCTGTACCTCATTTCGCTTAAAGCCGAAGTTTTCGAGAAGCTACTGATGACATAAGTGAGGTCTCAGCATGTCTCTTTCTGGGAATGGAAGGTAATCTAGTTCCTCACCTGGTCGCTGGTGCTGCCACTCTCCAAACCTAGGGCTGCTGCTGAGATTGGGCCTTCCCTAAGCACGGCTTTCGTTGAGAAGACATTTCGCGAAACCCAGAGGCAACCTCAACGTCAAACAAGCATGGGCTAACTAAGGAGATTACAGTCCATTCACTCCATGGACGAGGAAACAGTTCTCTCAGTGAATTAGGCAGACAGACTAGGAACATGAGAAAATGAATATAAAGTAAAATGGAAAAGTAACGTGCATATGTCTTAATACTTGTTTAGTCATTGTTCAAAGCGGTTCCTGTTGAGGGAACAGACAGCACAGAAGAGGACAGTAAGAAAACAGTGTAGTTCCTTGCAAGGAGGAACCATTGTGGGCAGGCATTATCATCTTTCCGTATTGGGTTTCGTTTTTATGATCAAACGTTTAAGACAGAGAAGACGCTGTGCAATCTCAGATGGAGAGTGGTGCCAACAGTGAGAAAACGCGCTTTGATGCCCCAACCTCCAGGCTGACACGCCCCGTCGGAGGCCCCGGGAGTACTCACATGGGGCGGGATACACAAACTTCTCTGGGCTCTGGCTAAGCAGGGCGTTCTTGATGTGGCTGCGACCCACCCCGCTGGCGCCTGCATGGAGACAGAAGGCGGGGATGCAGATGGGAGTAGGGGCGGGGTGTGGATTTTTCTCTCAGCACTCTAGACGGCCACCAGGTGAAAATGAGGTGGTGCCGCCTCTGGCCTGACGTCAGAAGGTGGGGGGCCACCAGCTGGCTTCGGGTCATTTTTTTTCCATTTGGGGGAGGATGTCCTTTCTAAGGACTGAGGATGGGGACTGAGAACATAACTGTGATTTCTACAGAGAAGCCCGCTGACGGGTGCCGCTTGTGAGGTGGACGTGAACATTCCATGTACCTGCTCTATATTGAAACCCCACGAGACCTCACTCCTTTTGTTCCTCGCTGCCTTGTTTCGGTGGGTACATAATGTGGGCAGGAAAATCAGGACAGAAACGTGCCCTTTAGCTAGAAAAGCAGTACATACCAATCAGCACCAGCGTCTTCCTCTTGAACGCAGGGAGCCGGACAACTTCCTCGTAGGAAACAACATCCAACTGGTCAAAAACTAGAGGCAAAGAAACCGAGCAGTGTTCACGTCCTGAGCTGGGGAGAACAGTGGTACAGGCCCTGGGGTGGGAAGAGCCTGGCACATCTTGACACACAGGGAGGAGCTGGCTAGAGACGAGGCTGGGGCCCCAAGGAGGAAGGACTCCGCACTGTATGCGTTTGTAGTGTGGCAAGGGAGTTTTGAGAAAGGGCTCCGAGTGTTGGGACGCCGCACTCTCCCCCTCCTTCCCTTCTCTCTCCGAGCCAACCTTTCGTCTCCTGTACTTATGTCTTCCCTGTGGGTTCAGTAACAGATGCTCCCCTGGGCTGCCAAGCTATCTCACAAACACTGAGCAATTCACAATGCCGACGTGATCTCTGTACCACCTAAAAGGTCCCTCATCTAAAGAACGGTGCCGCGATCCACTCAGCTGCTCGAGATGGAAACCTGGTGTCATCCCAACTCTCCATCCGTCCCACCTCCCTGCCACCCCCAGACTGCCACACTTGTCCCCTGGCTTGTTGTGTGCATGTGACCGCTCAGTGTGCCTCTTCTGGGGTTCTTCTTCCACTGCTAGGTGCAGATGCAAAGCTGATCACCTAATCCTGTGCTCCAAAGCCTTCACTCGCTTAGCAGAGACTATAGCACATGACCCCAGACAGGACGGAGGGTGGGTGGAGTTCCCTGTGACCAGGTCTGTGTTCTTGCCCCACTTTCCCTCCCCCTCCACGGATGCCCCAGCCACATCTGCCTCTGTGGGAAGGGTAGCATGATGAGCAGGAGCGGGCAGACCACTAGCCTTCCCGTACACCTAGTGGCCTGATCACAGCGAGCCTGCAAAGACACCGCCCTTCTCAGCTGCTTGGAGCCTAGGACACACAGGCGTGCTGCCAGGAACCTGAAGAGAGAAGGCGCAGAACGCTTACTCGAACTGTGCTTGGCCAGGTACTTGTCTTTGTACTTCTTCTTCTTCCCAAAGGGACTGCAGCTTGGGGCTTCGCTGGGAGCCGACTGAGCCACACTTGCCACTCGCCTGCAGGGAAAGATGACCAAGGGGTCAGCAGATCCTCCGTGCGAAAGTCCCAGTTCATCCCCCTGTCCTGTGACAGGAGTGGGTGGACTCCCCTTGCTTGCTACTCCAACCCTCCAGACCCATTCCCTTCCCGTGACCCCTCCTCTCTTGCTCTCCCCTCGCTCCGAGAGTCCGCTGCAGCTGGAGAGAAGGCGTGTGGTGCCCGCAGTCAGGAACCTGCTTCCTTAAGTCTCAGCCACTGTTTCGCAGCAGGTTGTAACACGTCCCAGTCAACTCCCCTTCTCCGGTCCAGCCCTGGTCCCAAACCTTTACGACCCCACCTCACACGAAGGAATATATGGTACGTATATACATTGCAAGCTTGTATCCTTGGACAGAGAAAACACACCATGCATGCAACTAGAACCTTCTAAAATGACCACCTCCATTACATAGAGCACAATATTCCCATTCACCGTCATTTTTACAAGAAATGCTTGTTGTAGCCCCTTATGTTGACTCTCGTGGTTTGGCCCATGTTTACAACTTCCTTTCCACTATGTCTTAACCAGAGATGAGATCAACCAGACACCTCTCCTCAAGGTTATAATCTTTACGCTGGGGTTATTGGCACAGGTAAAGGGAGGGTCGGCATTGGCTGCGGAATCAGCCGCAACTGCTGTGTATGGATTTTTCTGTGGGCATGTGGTGTGACCCACAATTAAGGGAGCAGTCTGACTCGGGACAGGAATTATTTCTTCTGTGGATCAGAAATTTGCATAGAGGACACACACTTAAATGCGACTGTTTTCTGCAGATTTTGGAAGAAAACTCAGAAGCAGCATGGGCGGCAGAAGGGCGCCAGCTTGGGAAGCTGGAGACCAGGGAGGGCTCTAAGCCCTGCACTGTCACTTGCTTGAAGGAAACACCTGTAGCAGCCTCTCAGGCTAGCTAACCAAGTCAGCGTTGGCCCTCCCTCACCCACTATGCCAGGGAGGTGTGGCGGTCTCCTTCGCTGAGAAACAGAACTACACACAGGGTGACAGATTTCGGAAGCTCACCACTCCTGCAGCTCGGGGGACGGGATCAATCCTGCTGACTCCTTGGAGGAGCCTTCCACCCGTCCTTGCCACCAGTTGCTGTCATCCTTGTTGATGATCTGGATAATGTCCCCAGTTGCAAATTTCAGCCCCGCCTCCTTGCAAGGGATCAGATTGTCCTTTTTGGGGTCATAGTCAAACTGCGCTCTCATGAACATCTGCAAAGGAAGAGAAACGCCAACATCAGAGCGTGTGAGGAGAGATCCCGCTGTGAATAAATGGGACCGGGACCCAATGAACAGCAGGGAGACGAGAATGGTGGAGTAGCGCCTGAGAGAGAGGTCGGAGGGCAAGAGGGCTGGGAACTGCACGTGGTCTTGTCTGCAGAGGGGGAAGAAGGAATCTCAACTTCCTGGACTCAGGCAATTCTCCCACCTCAGTCTCCAGAGTAGCTGGAACTACAGATGTGCGCTACCAATCTGACTAATTTTTTTCTTGCTTTTTGTGGAGACGAGGTCTTGTTATAGAGCCTAGGCTGGTCTTGAACTCCTGGATTCAAGCAAACCTCTTGTCTTGGCCTCCCATAGTGCTGGGATTACAGACATGCGCCACCATGCCCAGTTGCAAAAAGTTTTCAAACAAGACATATTAGGCTAATGACGATAAAAGAAAAAAAAAGTAGTCGATTGGAAAAGACAAGCTGCAGAGAAAGAGAACATACTTGGGATACATATGACAAAGGACTTTTATCTAGAACTCCCACAAATCACTAAGAAAAGCCTTGAAACGGTATTTTACCAAAAAAGATATCCAAGGGGGAAAAAAACATATATAAAAGGGAGTTGACCCTCATTAGTCATCAAAGAAATACAAACTAAAATCGCAATGTGATGCCACCACCAGGATAGCCAAAACCAACCAACCCACCCACCAAAAATACCAGACAATTCTAAGTACTGCTGAGAAAATAGAACTGAATTGTCATACAATGCAGCTGGGGATGCCAACTGGCACAACTACTTTGGAAAACTACCTGGCAGTATCACCCAAAGATGGATACACACGTATCCTACAACCCAAAGCACAATGGATGAGTAAATTTCAAAACAGCCTAGACTTGGATGAAGTTTTTCTTCTTATTGTGCTCTATGTATTTATTGCTCCAGAATTTCAAAATAGTTAATACAAATTTTGTTACAGCTAAAAAAAGATGTAAGTGTCAAAAATGCAAATGTGAATGTCTATGGTATCAGGTCAGGGCTGCCGTGAGCCCTGAGAAAATGTGCATGGTGAGGGGAGGGGGGTGAGGGGGGAGCATTCTTAAGCCATGAGGCATATTCCGCCTAGTTTCATACATGTGACTTGTGTGCTTTGTTGTATATATACCCACATATGCAAAAACTTCAATAAACTTAAAAGAAAATTGTACCATCAGACTACAAGTAACCTGAAGTAGAAACTTAAGATTTGGGGTTTTGTTTTTTTTTTTAAACTTCTTCCACATTCACTTGCCCAGGACCTGTCCAAGCTATCCGTCCAGTGGCCGCTGAGCCGCATGTGACCTCAATACGCTTGGAATAAGTGCTCAAAAGATACTCTTTTCTTTCTTTGTCTTTATCTCTGTACTGGGCTTCATTATTAGTATTTTTAAATTTGCCAGTTTGGTTGGTGAAAACTGGTATCTCATGCATGTTTTAATTTGCATTTCTTTGATGACAGGTAAGACTGGATATTTCTTCCTATGTTCAATGCCCTCTTGCAGTTTTCTTCCTGCGAATGATCTCTGCATGATCTGAATGATCTGAATGATTTCTCTTGGAGTTGAGGTGATTCTTCGCCACCTGTAGAAGAAGATCACCCTTTCCTTTCCCATCCAATTACCAGCAGCAAAGCATCAGGGTCCAGACCACGTCATCCCTGTGTCCTGCCTCAAGGAGCGGGTAGAACGGGACTCTGAGCCAAGCAGCTTTACACTTGTGAAATGTTTAGAACTTAAAGTCAGACTCCCATCACTTGTTATCAAATCTCCAAGGACACAAGACAACATGGCCTGAATCCTGCCATCATCACAACCAAGAGCAGGGCACCACTCACCTGTAGCGCAGGAAGACGACTTTGCTGGTTGGGAATTACTTTCAAAGAGATCATTCCTTTGGTTTCTTTCTATTAAAAAGAAAGGAGAAATGAAATTGCAAGGAAGCCCAACTTGGAGGATTTAACTTTTCAGAGTCATTCTTCTCCCCCAGAGCCCCAGGTATTTTTCCCCAACAGCCATCTTGACATTTGAACTCATGTTGGACAATTCCTCCTTTAGTACAAAAGTGCCACGTGTCCCATAAACCAGCACAACAAGCTGAAGGCATGAAAAGAGTGACAAAGAAAAAGCTCAAGACTTTCTCTTCTTCCCACTCGTGACCCCAAAAGGTCCCCAAGAAGTTCCTAAAATGAACCGTGGCACACAGATATCTACAGCTTTCTCCACAGCAATAAAAGCAGTGCAAGTATTTACATACATGTATACATATATTTATACCTATACACACACACACACACACACACACACACACACACACACACACGTATTATTTGTTTTTAACCAAATGGGATTAGACATAACTTCTTTTACTGCACAGATCTACTTCTAGGTCAATGTATGAAGATCTCTTTCCACTTTTCCAAGAGATTGCATCAATTCTACTCCCACCAGGAGTATGTGAGGACCTTTCCCCAAGTTCCTGCCAGAAGTCTGTATTAGCATATCACTTTTTGTGGTGAAAACATATAGTTCTCCTGTCTCACTGGGATTTGGAACTCCACTCCCCACAACCTCTCCCCAGCCCCTGGTAACCACCATTCAATACTCTCTGCTTCTATGAGTTCAATATTTTTAGATTCTACATACAAGTGGTACCATGGGGCATTTCTTTCTGTGCCTGGCTTACCTCACTTAACATAACGTCCTCCAGATTCAGCCGTGTTGTCACAAATGACAGGATTTCCTTCTTTTTGTGTGGCTGAATAGTATTCAGCTGTGTATACATACCACACTTTCTTCATCCTCATCCGTTGATTCCTTACTTTGCCTATTGTAAATAACGCTGCAATAAGCGAGCATCTTTTCTTT